CATAGTGTGGACGGGGCCTAAGTTCCGTGCGACTAATGTATTCTGGTATTTGAACTCCAGATTCCAACAATGCATTCCAATGCTATATAGGGATGGTATAATTGTCCAGGAAGGACAATYGATTAATACCACTCAGATGATGATATAATTAACTACTAACGCTTGCGAGTTGAGGCTKTGCAAAGGCCTGCGATCAAGTGCTAYCGGAATGTGTACCAAGTTRATGAAAATCGGATGCGATATTGATATTGCAYATACAAGAGTAAAATCTGTCGATGCATAATGCGGCAATTGTTGAGAACGGAAGTCATGCATGCGCAACGTCGAAATAACATGCGCGACTCTCTGTGCRCACTTAAGTCCGGCGACCTCAATTAAGACTGTGTGAGCTACTACTTGGTAGGTCGCTGATTTGACCTGGATTTTTGTTTCCGAACTGAGCCATTTAGGACAGTTCGTGCAGATAATCAATTCACATAATTAGTTAACACACCAAAATATGTACTAGGACAATCAAGTATTGTCTTTGACTTTATATTTACTAATCCCAGAACAATATAGCTAACATCCTTTGTTGTGTTTTTGTTAGAAAAAGCTCAATACTTTCTAGATCTGAAATCTTGTCAGTAATTTGCGGAAAAGCGAAGCGTTGTGTCAAGATTTCCAGTAAAAATGTGTGCGCTTCTGACTTTGACTCGGCTACTTCTTTGAGTTAGGAGTAATAGCAAGAAGAAGCTATTAACACATTCTCGTTTATATTATTGAGATGTTCTAAATAGTTATTCCATTAAAAATCATATTTATGCTTTTTAATTTCTTGGATTTTTTAAAATTTAAGTTATAAGGTACGAGGTTGTTTTATGCAATTTAGATTTTATGGATTTTTCTAGCTTGATACAAAAGCCAATGATTGTACAACTTTAAATGAAAAATACCTTATGTTTTGCGCAAAGGTAATGCGAATATTCTGGGGCAATTGAGAAAGCCCGAAGACTTGAAATGGTCGCGCACTTAATACACAAGTGTCACGCAACTTTCAGTGTCAAAGTAGATAGTGCRAAACTGCTTTTTACATGCGTGACTAGACTCAGCTGACCTCGAATGCATATATGTGTTTTAAATATGTTTTTGCGCCCACAGGGCAGGATTAGTTGTAAAGCTTGTTCAATGAAAATCTTGTACTCTAGTTACTAGAAAAGGCTTCATRAAAAAAGTCTCGCTTTTTATTAGGCACCAGCCCAGGGCGCACCCTAGTTTTTACCATGTGATACATAGAAATATGAATAATATACAAACCTCAAACTTCCACCCATCGACCGGATGCGCCTCCTCAATGTAGACAATGACAAAGTYGGCCTCTTCTGCAAATCCTTTGACCAACAGGTGCAACGTTTGTAGGGAGGCCATGAATGAGGGTCATGTGCAAGATCCAAAGAGAACAACCATTGGTCGCGAGAGGACGTKCAGATCTAGTAGCTTCAAGAACTGACGGTTGTTGTTTGTTATGTTCAMCAGTGTTGGGTTGGGGGCTAATTGTCCCAATATGGCCGCTTTGGTTCCATCTYGTTTCAAAGTCTGTAGCGTGCTTTTGTACATCTCCCTTCCGAATAATGTATGCCAGTAGTTGCGTTTTTTCATGTTCGCCTTTTTTGTGTTGGTCAAATAGGTAAACAATCCCTCTCCTAGGGAYCCGACTACRGGAGTTAGGTGCAGTGTTTTCAAGATCAAAAACAATAAACCAAGCAACGCTGCTTCGATATAAAATACAAAAMTCGAGAATTGCCTTTTCAAAAAGCTTGTCATTTTGACTTGATCACTCTAAAAGGTTAAGCGAAGTACTTTGATTGAGCGCAGCCCATGKCTTGTACTATTTGTCTTCAAACAGGACGAGCTCTCATTGGTGTAAAGGTGTCGAACGGCATTCAAAGCTTAGAAATGTTCTGCTATTCACTTGGGAAATGGTATTCTACTGAGTGTGAGGTAAACAAAGTCAAAGATGTTTTCAAAAACGCCTCYGTTGGTGCTAAACGATTTTTATCAAAACAATAATGACTCTCTMTATATATATGTGCAAATCTTTCAAGAAATGTGGAACTTCCAGAATTAAGGCGGCATATTTTTCTGTTATGGACGCTTGGCTACTTGACCCACCCTACAAATTTGAGAGCATTTTCTTATTGAGACGCGGGTTTAAGCGGAACACACTCGTTTGTACGTATTATTACCCAACAAACTCRAAGTAATTCAATGATATAGAGCCAGTGTTATCTCCCAAATAGTATCGCAAATCTTGGACGAAGAATCGTTCTATTTTTTATTTATTCTCTTGATAACACACGGAGCTACTACGAACACTAAAGAAGGCGTTATACAAGACAGTCAAGAAAACGACGACAATTATAATAGTTGTGATATGCAATAACAAAGCTCAACCGTGTTTTACGTTATAAATACATGTTACAACACATGTTTTACCTATTGTAGACAATCTTTCTATTTCATCACTAGAAGATGGAGTGCATGAGCTTTATATTCGCGAAAAAAACTTTGGAAGAAATTGCACAAAATTGTGACAAAATAATTAGTAGGTTCAGACCCAAGTATAGATCGCAGACCTACGAAACTATGCACTAATTAGTACAATACGATTTTGTTAGTTAACGTTTTCACGGACGTATCGTATATGTACTCTACTATATGTTTCAACACCCTTTCTAGCTAYGTACTAGCCCGATCTTCCAGGTTTGTATCAGTGTTTATTAGTAAAAACTGAAAATAGGCTAGTAGCTCGAAAGCATGGTTAGTCTAGGTTAAAATTGAATAAAAATAAAATGATAATAGAATAACTAACGATAACAAAACAGATACTGAATCGATATTTCTATATATTTTTTGGTATAAATACAGGAGTTTCTTTTAATACTTCTTAGAATTCAAGTTGTGCTATTCAGCACTATGTACAGTTTTCAACGTTCAGTCTTCAGCGACGACTACTTCTCAGATTAAAGACAAGCTTTTTGAAGATGTGTACGCTATACAGCGGCTATGTCCTTGGCCTTAGTTCAGAATCCATATCTTGGATTCCAGAGCCCAACAATATTTCAATATTTTGGTCAGCTCCGGAATTCGGGTTATATCCGATATATCATACACTTAATTTTAGGGCGGAAGTTAAAGATTGGTTATTGTAGTATATCATAAGAAGTGAATTTTCATGTAATAAAGCCAGAAGTAAGGATGACAAACACAAGCACGCAGTTTATAGCTTATAGCATGACTTTTATGACGAAATAGATTGGAAAGAAAAGAAAGAAAAGGAAATAAAGGGGGGGGGGGGGGGGGGAAAAAAAAAAAAAAAAAAAAAAAARGGGGGGGGGGGGGGGGGGGGGGGGGGGGGAGAAAAGAAAAGAGCAAAGGAAAGAAGAAAAGAAAAACAATTTTTGCAATTCAATTTCCAAATGTACGACATTAATCACATGCATCTCTCCCATTTTCCCTTCGCAATTTCATTTCTCATTTTGCCATCATGTTCAGGACTCTTTTACAAAAAAGGCACGCTAAACTTAATGACGTGTGCATCAAATGAGCCCGCGATGCACCTGTAAGATAATACCATCTTATGTTATGCATGAATATCCCCTGGCTCCCATCCTATGGAATATATCGATGTGGGAGCTTCGTTGTTGCTATGGAGACCATGCAGTGATATACTTTGCATTTTTTWAGCGTGTAACTAGCGTGTTAAGTGGCATGCATAGTCGCCTTTGAATGCATCTTTGATATCAGTCAATTTACCGCGCCTCGAATAAYTGAGAAAAAATTGTAACTATAGCAACGAAAGAATTTTGAGTATCACACATGCAGCTTACATTGTTTTTGCTATCGAAACTCGTTTAATTCATTTATCAAAGCACCAAAAAAGCGCCACTGTACTGTATCTAATGAGGGCGATCTATTCAGTTCGTTGCTTGTCTTTATCAATCTATACGCGTTTAAGGATTTCGATTTAGGTAATCACGCCAATTATAAATGAATATACGAGTCTTTTCACAATAGGACGCCGAGTTTAAAAGATGGCGCGCACCGTCCAAGAACGATTAGTAAAACATTAACAAAGAGCTACCTGGTTTGTAAGATCACGTCTMACCATCCCCTCCCTTTGTGCTAGCCCGACTATTTGAACACCTGGCTTGGTGAAATTGACATGTATTGTGTGCGCGCGTGGCATCCTCTCGTTTGCATAAATTCGGGACTCGTGGCTATTGATGTGCAAATGAGCTTTTGATCCTCTGATAAAGTAAGTGTCTGACTTCTGACTTGAACCTTTTCTTTACAGACACGTGTATATTGTAAGCCATCAAGAAGATAAACAAGGCCTGTTATTTCCGAGGGTTTTTACCTCCAAGATTGTTGCGAGCAGATCCCGTGAACAAGCTGCATGTGCTTCTTTGCAAATCTATCTAGCTTGGCTGTTCAAAGGTAAACAAACTGACTTCTAATCTCCAGGTGGTGAAGTCTTACCACTATTAGTGTTATGGTTCGCAAACATAACTAGTTTTGAATTTAGAGCCGTTATCATTCGTGAGCGCACCAGCTTGAGAGCGCAAACTCTCTTATTACGAGAAAGAAAAAAATTCGCAAAAAAAATATCTATTCAAAGCAAATTCTATAGAAAAATAGCTCGGATATTTTTAGCTAGTGGGCGTTATTCATTGGTTATTTGAAGCAACGACTTAACATTTGAAGACAAAAGGACTCTAAAAACGACATCTTTTATGATGCTCGATAGATATAAAATTCTAAAGATTCAAACGCACTTTCGAAACTCTATTTCACTTTCAAATATAAAAAATATGTGAACATCAAGTTTCCTTGTTTTGTGTAGCTTTTTCTGTTGTTTTTTTGTTTGTTTGTTTGTTTTTGTCGTCGTAGCTAGGTTTTTATGGAGCGAGTTTTATAGTATGCTCACTTTTRTTAAGCGCTATATTAAACATTTATCTTGGATATATAATGTAACATTTAAAAATTGTAATTTTGGGCTGCAGAGAAATATTCTTTCCTGCCGCTGCAGTATGCCTATTAAAAATCCATATTTTTTATTATTCTATCATCATGACCACTCAATACAGTCCCAGGAATGTACTTTGTTAGGCGATSACTGAATCACAGGTGTCTAGAATCGCCCATAGGCGCCTGAATTTTTAGTGTCCTCCTTTAGTATCTAAGAGATAGAACCGCCCGTTCGACGCGTGCTGCATGCGTCTTAAGCATATCTCCAATTATCTTTATATAGATATTTATTTTGCGTTCCCGTTGCGGCTTTGTGTGAGATTTTGTTATCATAGAGAGTATAGTGTTTGGGGATTCTTTTGGTYGTGAGTTTATAAGAGTGGGATTATAGATGGATTATAGATAAGAGGTGTTTGCGCGCGCTCCTCACGMCATTTATTCCATCCATTCCAGGTCGATCCTTCCATCCAAGGCGCCCGTGGTGTGACGGGATATAGTAACCGGCCCACAATTTACCAGCAGTAGGTCTAACTTACTTATCCATCTTCCAGAAATTCTCATATTTATTTGACTATTCAAAAGCAAAACACCATGAAACCCTGTTGGTAGGGCACTAGATAGTCCAAGGCTCCCATGAGCTCAATTTGTAATGAAGAGCAAAGTTGTTCGGTTCGTTCGGTRGAGAGTTTAATGGTAAAACTTGGCAGTGAAGGTCATGTTGAGGGCTCGACTTGCGTGTCAAGACACGATGGTTGCTACATTTGTGGGGCTATCAACCCGAATTGGCACGTTTACTCCAAACCACAGAACAATTCAACTAAAGAGCCTTTTTTTCCATTCCTGGAATACCATCAGCCGACAGCTTCAGCTCGTCGAATTGAGAAAGAAAGTGGTAAAGTAGCTGTCTGTGCAGTGTGCTTTTCCTTTCTGACTCAACAATGGCGCGCGTTTGAGGAGAAGGAAACCCCGATTGTAAAGCGAATTTAYTGGCTTAAGAGACCCGGTTCAGAGAATCCTGAGAGCTTTGATAAAGACTTTGAACAAGGGTATGACATAGAAGAAGGAATGTTAAATCACGGCATGACTACTATGGACGTGACGACGAAAGATCGTCATCACTCGAAAGTGCAGAGCAAAAGTCAAAGTACAGCTGAACAAGAATCCACTGATACTCTTCCCTTTACTGAGGAGCACAGTGACGACCCTCCAATGGAGCCTTTCAGCTCTTCTAAAGTGCTTGAATCGAGTTCTGTCAACAAGAAAATGGCGAAGCTAGAGTTTTGTTTTGTTTGTAGCCGTCAAAAACCAAAAGAATTCATGCGTAGTGTTCACACGCGACCCCAACTCAAAACTGAAACTCCTTTCTATCCATGTCTTACCAAGCATAACCCAGCAATATTAGCCAAAAAGATGGATTTTCTTGGCAAAGTACTGGTTTGTGAGGCCTGTCAAAAGTTCTTGTTCAGACAATGGCAAGTTTTTCAGAAGAATAGCACACCTCTTAGTGAAAGGCAGTACCAATTACGTTCTGACCCTTCCCTCCCACGGGAACAACAATCCCAGCTTTCGACCATGGTATGCTTTATTTGTGGGGTGACTCAACCAGCTACATCTGGAAGATTTCTGTACTCTCGTAAGCATGCGTCAGGAGATCCATACTATCCATTTCTAAATAAGCTGAAACCTCCGCCAGGAGCCATGCCATTGACTAAGCAAGGGTTGACTAGAGCCTGTAGTGGATGTCGCAAGTCTCTGCACCGCCAATGGAAAGAATTTGAAGCAAATAACATTTCAGAAGATGAACGGGAATATAGAATACGGAATGATGGGATATCAGCAACATCATCATCATCTTTAAGAACATCCTTTTCACAACCTAGTATGGATACAGAAACTATATCTACTGTAATGAACGTTAATAATAAAACTGATCTTGCCTGTTATACTTGTGGAGAATTTTGCRACAAATCCAGTATGAGGCCCATTTACACTGGACAGAAAACAAATCCATTAAAAGCAAATTTTTATTTTCCGTTTATTGCGCTGCTGGAACCACCCCCTGGTAGCCGACCTCTAGACCACATCRGTAGAACTCTTGTTTGTAAAAAGTGCTTCAAATTCCTACACATGAAATGGGAACAATTTGAAATGGAACAAGTACCACCTCAAATGCGCATCTATGCTGTGGATGGAAAAGCAAACATCAAACTCAAGTCTAAGTCGTATTTTTGTTATCTATGTGGAGTTAAATGCCCTGGTACTCTTTCAACTTTCAAACTGCATTCCTATCCACATAACGGTGAAGGCGTCCAAGATGGTGGCTCATTTTTCCCTTTTCTAGCATCTCGTGAACCCAAGCTAAATGCATCACMGATATCTTCTGAGGGAACTGCATTGGCATGTGAAATATGTTTCACTAACTTAATGGTGCAGTGGAGAGAATTCGAAAGTTCTGGCCTGCCTGAGGAATCAAACAGATGGCTACGTAAATACAATGTTGACTTCATAGTTTGTTACTTATGTGGAAAACGTACTCCACGAGAGAGCTGCTGCTCTGTCAGCAAATCACTAGTGGCATTTCAGCAAAGGTCTAAAATTTATAGAGGTAGTCTGGTGACGAACAGGAAACAAGATGTCGTAGTATGTGATGGTTGTCAAAGAGGAATAGTTCCAAAGGATTCTGGGAAAGGGCTGTACGCTGAGCCAACGCATGAAACAGTCCAAGAAGAGGTTAGTTGTTGGTTTTATTTATTGTATGATTTATTTTTTTACTGATTTGAAAAGAAATGTAAAATAGAATTACTTGATGCTGGTTTCTCTTAGGCATAGCCTAATGAACCAATGATGAATAGATTTAACATTATTTCTAGATACTTTTGCGCAGCAATCATATATACCATTTTTAGTTATTTATGTGTTTTTTTTGTGGYTGAATAATTGCAAACCATCTTAGCATGAGAAATTTCATGAAACGAGGATTTTATGAACCTTATTTAGCACATATTTTTCTTTAATTTCCAATTTTTTCTGTAGAAAAKCTTTAGTAACTTAATTTTTGCTCTTTTTTAAAGAAATATTCCAGAAATGTAGTTGTACCTTTTYCCATTAAAACAGGAYCGTAATCTGTCTCTTTTTGCTCTCCATGGCTACTATAAATTTGTATGATCATCAAAAATGATTTTTCTAGATGTAATTATTTGAAATGATAGGGCTTGATAACATGTGTGAGTACTGAAATTCAGTCAAAAATTATTGACACGATATGCGGATTTAGAAATATCAGAATACACCAAGACAGAGCTAAAAAGGCCTCTGTCAAAATATACATACAAAACACTCTTACTTTGGTATTTTGTTACTTTATCGATATTTAGTCAAAAGTAGTAAAACTTTTCCAAAAAATAATTTTACTGAAAGTWTTCTTTGAGATGACAGTGTTTATTTTTTATACTAGTAAATGTCACTTTCTTGGCATTAGAAGTACAATACATTCTATAGGATCACTGTGCGAAAGGTCACAGTGGGATCAATACACCCTCAGAATCTGTTGCCTTAGTTACTGTCACACACGAGTAGTCAAGTGTGCTTGTTGATTCTATTTATCCGTTAAGATTTTTTTTTGGTCTTTCTTTCTCTCTACTAGAATCACAGGTCAAAATTCTAGTTGGAACTAATCTACTCTTGAACAGAGCCTGTGATTCATACTGAGCTTGCTCAACAAATACCAGAGACTCTGGGAAACCCTAGCATTTTAAAAGCTGTGATTAGTTACAATTTATTTTTTGTTGTTGCAATAATTGATTTAAAAACTGAGCTAGCAACCACAGGTTGCAATAATAGATAACCATTACCTTGAATACACCATATTCCCTGATCTGAGATCCAAAAGCTCGGTGAATAATAAATAAGTGTAGATGAAACAACAACTGAATATTTAATGACATCTACATACRAAGAAACCTTGAATTTGGTTACCTTGAAAGTCAATGAAATGGCAATGCAGCTGCAAAGCAAAAAAACAGCATTTTTGGAGAGTAAAATAAACAACTGTTGATTAATCAGTGGCCGATCCAGGGGGGGTTCGAAGGGTTCCATGGAATCCCCCTTGAAGGTTTGATCTTTTAGGTAATAGAAATATGTCTTATATAAATTTTGCTTAAAAGTATCCACAAGGATAATGTTGAACACGAAATGATAAATATTTGCTGTTATAATGTTTAACTTACCTTTAAGTTCCGTTACTAGATAGTAAATTAGGTGATTTTTAAATTAGGTGAATTAGGTYGAGAGTAAAACTATCGTCGATAAATAGAAATACTACTACTTTTATTTTGTAGCAAGGTTGCAYGTAAAGTGCATTATTACTATTATAGTAATGATAAGAGACCTCTTTTACTCTGACGAAGGACTAGCGTCCAAAATGTCAGTAAGTTTTTTCATCTTTTCACAGTGTATAATTTACCCTTTTATCATTGCTGTTTCATTAGAAACACYGACGCGGCTCACACTAGTTTTTAGCTAGTTATCTCTTCTTATAACCATTATTATTATTATTATTGTTATTTTGAAATAGCAACATATAACTTTAACTTTAAAAAATCTGTGACCTCTTGGCCAATATTTATTCATTTATTATTCTTATCCATTTCGAATTATACTGATTAATATATTATACCAGTTTTGATTTTCAAATTACCGCTGTGTTCCTTGATTACAGACTCATTTACACAGGGTTAGCCTCRTGWCAGTGTTTAGAYATTCACAAATATTAACAGTAAAGTAAAGAATGCACAACAACACTTTGACAATACRAACACTTTGAAACTCGACAGACCTTGACTGGAACACATAAATATTCTGCACAAAACCTAAGGCCAACCTTGTGTAAATGAGTCTGTAATCAAGGAACACAGCGGTCATTTAAAAATATTGTGACGTTTATGGGATCTTTGTGTACTACATACTGCATACGAAGTCATCCCTAGTTACCATATTTTGTTATGTAAGACAATTGACCCTTCTAAAAATTATTTTGAATGTAATGCTAACATGGAAATACAAAAGAAATGCCACAAATTCCATCGAGAAAATGTGTGATTTCTTAYATAAATTTTTCATGTTGGCCTCACACGCAAGATATTTCTGAGAATTAAGAGTCAATTTTTCATTGATTATTAGTTTTTCGCACATCAGTGCACACGTTCAGTAGTGTTTGAGTGAACATGTTATTCARGACAATTAGTCATAGTGATTAAAATCTAATACTTTGTATGGTAAGGTATTCTCTGACAGTCTTTTGACTTTAATGTATTTAATTGACATTTTTTATTCTGTTTCAAAAATTTCATATTTAGAATATTTTTATTGATGAATTGAATCTGATGAGTTATTTGTAAAAATAATTTCTTGACTTTCATGTTTAATTTCATGTTTTTAAAGATGTTTATCTTTAATGGCTTTCAAAATCAAGCCAAAAGAAAATATCTGATAAAAAAGTTTTTAAATTGGAATTTCATTTTTTCGTCTTCAAACTTAAGATTGAATTCAAGCTTTCTTTATTTTACAATAATTGTTTTCATTTTTTGTTTGCATGTTTTAATCAGCACAAATATYTTACTTAATAAAAACCTTGAATGTTTTTTTTATAACATGAGATAATTATTTCTTACATTTCTAATTTCTTTGGAATTTGGTTGTAAATTATTTGAAAATTATTTTCTTATAGTCCTAATTTACCATTTTTTACTAGTCTTGCTTGCTCTTAAATGTTTTGAAATTACATATCATATACATATATACAAGTCTATAAATCGTTTTCAAAATATATTTTGTGTAGTTTTACCTCAGTTAAGTTTACTACATGAAAATTTGAAAGTTTAAAATTGTTGTATTTATGTAGAGAAGATGTCTTCTAAATATTGTAAACCTTTCATATATGTAGTTATTCAGACAGCAATACTGAGGCCAATTATGTAGTGTCACGTAAAAAAAAAACAAAAACTGAATATTAAATAATGTTTTCTCACATTTCATAGGGATTAAATCAAAAATATATATGATTCCTCATTATAATTATGTTCTAAGTGTGGCTGAGTGAATCCCACATTTTTCAGTGGATAATTCACAAAGACATGTTTCTCTTTATAGTACTTTTTTTTRTTGCCTACTGAGCAAGCTTGTGGTTGAATTCACTGAGAGGCAACCCAAGCTATATGYAAACATACTGAGACATCACAGCATCTCAGGCATTTTCTAGTGTTTTCTAAAATAAAAAGGCCAAGTTGACTTAAGGTTTTGCTAAATCCTCCTAGAGTTTATATCCTAAACACTCAACAAACTAAACTGTTGAGATCCTTGTTAGAAAAAAGTTAATCAGTCATGTCCATTGAGTTGTTGAAATTTAATGGATTTAATATATTCCTGTGAAATTCATGGATGAGTAGAGACCAGTTGAGAAGTAACTTGGTTGGTTAGTTGTGGATATTTGCATAAGAAAAGAAGAAAGAAAAACAGGTGGCATATGAATAGGTGAAGTTGAGTCTAAGCATGGCTAGCTAGCCCATTCCTAATCATAGGCACCTCTCTTCAACTTATTCTCAATCTTTAACACRTCTTTGCTCACTATAGACACCAACCTAATCATTTTCTACCGACCAATCCTCTGCTATCAACATCTGACTTGCTTGCTAAATAAAGRCTACTCATCATGAATATTTCATAAGCTAGTTGTTGGATCATAGAGGTTAGTGAGTTAGAGGAGAAGAACAGGAAAAAGTTCCCTCTGATTCTTGTGAAGCCTGACCTTTAAACAATTTTCCTTTGGCCCAGAGTGGAAGTCCAAGAATCCCTTGGGAGTTTTGGTCTTATTGGGTAAGTATTAAATGTGATTCTTGACAAACAAAGAGAGATCTTAAAAGCAAAGCTTTAACCTGTTGTTGCCTGACTTGCATATTATTAGAGCAGATGATTGTACTAAAACGCTTAGTGTTCATTGTTTAGTGTTGACAATGCACAGATGTCTCCTTATGCAAATTTCACCATGAAAAARATAATGCCTAGAGTTTGGTGCCTAATTCTTCACCAAGACCATCTTAAATCAGCATAAATTAACCAGGGAACGTGAATACGATTAACATTGAACTCAAGGCTCAAATACTGACCACTTCATTCTTGGGGGGTGAATGAAGTTTGGGTTCAATTAATCAAGGATTTGATTTGACTACATAACTTTTCAAGGGCTATATYATCAGGATATAAAAAACTTTTCAGGTTAGTGTAAAACGTGGATTACCTTTCTTTGAGAGGAGGCCCACATGTCTTTTTTAAAGAAGTCATCCTCAAAGTCATCGCATGTTTGTTATTTTTAMAGCCTGAACTTTAGCATATTTGAAGCTTTATTACTCAATATTTCTTCCTCTATGGACTTATATTTGATCTTTAAAAAGATCCTCAATTTTGGAGCCGATTTAGTAATATTAATGCTCTGGTTTAGTTCTATTTATTACATAGGATATATGCAATTTAGATTTTTTATGAATGGACAGCATTTCAAGTGAATTTTGAATCCAATGAATCAACCAGAGACAGAAATTTCTGAAAAATACAATCTTGTTTTTCTTGCTAAAGTTTTTGCTTCTTTTACCAAGATTTTTTTAATCACTTGAGTGCCTTCCAGATGTTTTTTTTCCAGATTGGAGAGATACTGTTTTCTGTTAACCCTTTCAGGTTGCCAACACATGTGTTTTTCTTTGTATGGACTTTATCTCCATGTTAGCATAAAGCCTTTAACCAAATCAGCATAGATATCTATCCAATTTCCCCCAAAATACTTGGGTTTTTGTCTATAAAAAATCTGTGACATCTGAACCTCTTTGAACTTGATTTTTTTATTCAAGTTGAAAAAGAAATGTTTTGATTAGAGTCTGTTATGTTTTATGGACACAACTTGATGCAATTTTAATGATTTKCCAGGATGATTATTTTCACTCAAACACAAAGATTTCTCCTTGGCTGTCCAGTTTAGARCCTAATTTTGTCAATTCTCTTCAACCTAAATGCTAAAGCCAAAGAATTTCAATCACATCAGAAGGAATTATTTTCCTTCCCAAGTGAAGCGTGATGAATTGGTTTCTTTGTGTTTTCTCTCTTTCAATTAGCATAATGCAAATAATGTTTCATCAGTGAAGCTCTGTTTGTTCTTGCTGAACTTCCCCAAATTAACAAAATGGCTAGTATAAAGTACCACATTCATATCTCTTATATTTATTGATATTTTCTATGAGATTTTTTCTCACTTTTTTTTCTCTAGATTTCAATAGGTTAGTTTTTTTTTTTTTGTTTTACTATGGATCTACATGTAACACTCAGGATTATCTTCAGCCTCAGGCAATATTTTTTGAATTTCACTTTTCGTTGGTACAAAATAGAACCCACAAAATTACTCTTTTTTTCAGTATTCCACTAACTATTTCCTTCTCTCTTCAATTTATTGCATCCTTTACCTAAAACCCAAGAAATTCTGCATCAAGTTCCAGAAGTGTAAACCATTGTTGTAGTCAAATTCTAGTTGAGCTATCTTACTTTAAAATTTAAAATCCTCATTTAAGTATTAGATTTATTGAATTTTTATTTCAATCTATATTCTAGAATATTAAAACTATACATTTTGTAGACCTCTTTCTTTAAACAACTGTCTAAATTTTTTGATTGATATATTATAAAGCACATTAAGATCACCTTATGTTTGCGATACACAAATTGTAATTTGGTTAATGGTTTCTCATTTTYGAGTGGTCTTTTCCTGCAAGTCAAGTGAAACATATTTACCTTTTAATATTTTTTGACTCAGCATTTCATGCAGTTATCGATCGTTCTTAATAAATAAATCCCTCAGTATCATAACTGAAACGCTAAGACAAAGATAAAACTGATTCGATTGAAACGCGATTGCTGTAAAATATTATGATTTTTTTTTTTTTTTCAGTTGGGCAGTAAAAAGGTTAAAAGCTAACATGACTCTTTTTATTTTTCACTTCAAATATTTCTTGTCTAGAATTATTGGTGAGATTTAGCCTGCATTTTAGCTACTGGAGGACAACTTTTTTCGACCCTTAACTGTGGAGTGAAAAATTATCATATTATAGGTGGAAATACCTTTAAGAAAAATTTGATTTTGTTTTGTTTTTTTGCTTAGGGCACTAAGTTATTAGCGTTTGGATAATTCCCATGATGTTAAAAAAACATTAAATTGATAACTTATTAATTTATGGTTTAGTTGTTAAGGTTAGGATTAAAATGGTGCAAGCTGATAAAGTGATCTTGTGATAAATTGAAATCCTGCATTATGGTGTAGCCTTGAGGGCTTATTATTACCTACAAATGTTATTTTGATTAACTTTTTTCTCAGATACGTGAATATCAATTTTGTGCACGTAGCTATGTATCAGTAATATAACCTCAAACTCTATTTATAGAATGYATGTGTATGCACAATACATTGTGTAGTCGAAAAAGTAATTTTTGAACAGTTTTTTCGGTTCTGGTCCAGTTTTTTTTCTCATTCCACAAAACCTAATAGCTAAATTTCAATTTCATTTGTGAGCTAGCCATGCAATATGACTTTGACCAGCCCAGAGGTTGATTCAGAGTATCGATAAAATTTTTTGAGGAATCTTTATTAAAGGAATTTCTGTCATATTTTATTAAAAATTCTGTTTTAATTATTTCTAGTATCTAAAGTTTTACATTTGTTCAACAAACTCACAAATGTAGTTTTTTTCTTTCATGCACAGTAATTTTARACCCATTTGTTTTCCAATCATGTCTTTTGTCAAGTGCATCTAAATTGGTTTGACCTGAATCACAAAAAAACCTGTTATACTGGAAACCTGTTTTTATTTGAACTTTTTTGTCATTCCTTTGTGGAAGCAAACCTGTTTGTCCTGAATGATTGTTGTATTTCTTATTTTTAACATCTTTACATCTGTTCTTTTATCTTTGCATACTTCTAATACTTATTTGTGGCTTCTACTAAATAAGTTATAAGTGTTTAATGAATGACAATTGACTTATTTTCTCATGATAAATCTTGTTCAATCTTCAATTGACAGAATTGTTTCATTCTGTTATGTTATTAAAATTTATTTGTGTCAACCCTTCCAAAATGACCTCCAATTTTTTTCAATTTTAAAAATTGKTGTCCCCCAMTCCCCTCAAATTCTATATTTAGCTRCCCTCCAACCCAGAAAGTATGAATAGTCCCTAAGCATTTAATCTCAATATTCCCTAGACAGTATAACACRTCCATGCTCTGGAATCTATCGACTGTTCTTTTAGTAAAATATTATTGGCAGGCCTTGTGCGCGGTGTTGGTGTACAATGTTGAAAGCTACAAATTTCAAAGCAAAAGTTTGTTTTAAGAATGCTCTGGTTTCTGTTTTAKAAATAGATCTGTAGTTCTAAGTATTTACATGATTTGAAAGCGAAACTTTCAGTCTATTGTAAACTAGAAATWAATTTATGCTACGTAATACTTTACTAAGTGATACTTATTCATTTGTCTCACAATTGGACATCATTGAATAACACTCCAACAGTGCACCTAACCCACCAATCTACTCACAATTTTCATAATGTGATATTTTATTTATACTTTGCAGACCAGAAGAACAGAATTAAGTCATCTCATTCCCAAGACCAAAAAGCCTGTGATAGTGATTGACTCCAGTGACAGTGACGATGATAATAACCCATCTTTAATAGCCAAACRCAAGAGTATATACCCAAGAACCTATCGTCATGCGAATGCTTCCCCCATGCACTACACACCATCAGCTTCACCTGGAGTCTCACAGCCACCAGCACCCATCAAAGACTACCCACCCTCAGTCTCTCCAAGTATGCAACCTTCCACTAGYAGAAGCTTTGCAGCAGCTTTGAGGAAACTTGCAAAACAAGCCATGCCAACAGGTACTTCTTCACCAGCTACGTCTTCTGGTTCTGGCTCTCAGCCAGTGTCACCAACTGTTTCTCATACAAGCTCTAGAAGTGCAGGCAAGTATTGGACATTTCCAATAATATGTCATAAAATAGGCAGTCAACTCTCCCCTAGCGGCCACCTGTAATTAAGGACACCTTGCTATTGTGTGGTACGTTCCAGAAAATATCCACACCCCCACCATGGAGGGAATTCATAAAAGGACCCCCCTACCCCCAGGAACTTCCAATTTTCTTCCAAATCATTTCACAGAGGAACACRAACTCTGTAATTGTGTTCAGAATTTCCAATTTCTGGAACTACACATTCCAAAAAAATCCAATGGTGAAAATGCTGACATAAAATTGACTGAAATTCAAAGYGGTTCGAGCTTACCCCCCTAGATTTTTTAGGCTGCCAGTGGTAAAATTTGACCTGTATTTTGGCCAATTGGCAGGCCATTGTTTCRATTTCTGTAGCTAAGGAATTAGCCATTTATATTTAGTTAAAAAAATTATAATTGCACTGAACTCTCGTAGGTGTATCCCCTTCAAGAAACTCACCTGCTGCCAATCAGACTCCTCCCCCTCCTCGAGGTGAGGGAACCATCTCTAAGGAACGGCAGCCACTTGTTACCGAGAGAGAATTGCATAACATAACAACTCCACCTATGCCACCAATCCCTGCCTTGGAATCGGATTCCAATCCTACGACAAGTAAGAATTACTATTAATTTATCTTTAATTATTATATAGTAAGGATAGTACATSTGAGATGATTGGTAGAAAAGTGTGCTTTATTAGTGAACGGRGCACAGTGCTGACACCATCAGTGTGCACGAAGTGCTGCTAGATCCTGCTCCTGATCCAGAAATAAAATTAGTAGCTATTATAATAAAACGAATAAAACAGTTTTTTTCAGTGCTCTGTTCAGTAATAAAGCACTTAGGAAGTGCAGTAAGCACTCAAGAGGTAAGAGAAGCTTCTTACACTAACTTGTGTATTTCCTGTGTGCATTATTACTAAACGGAGCATGGAAAAAGCTGTTTTATTTGTTAAATATCAATTCTAGAAAAAAAATATTTTTATAAGATAATATTATGACAGAGCTGAAGAATAWTTGTGCAGGTATAAAATAATCTATCCAACAAAACTAACATGGCAGCTGAAAAAGTTTGCTTCTAACATGAAAATTAGTCGAAACCATTTAATTCAGTACAAGCATTAGAAAAGTTATAATGACACCTGGTTAGCTCAGTTGATAAGAGCRTCAGTCTGTTGTGTGGGAGGTCGTGGTTCAAGCCTCTGCCAGACCAACACTCAGGGTCTTTAAATAACTGAGGAGAAAGTGCTGCCTTTGTAATTATATCTGCAAATGGTTAGACCTTCATGTGGCTCAAATGATCATTATATGGCTACCTTTTAAATTATAAAATTTAAGATATAAGGCTAAGCTTGTTGTCATGTTTGAAAATATTTTTATTAAGGGGTTAACTTATAATTCCTTAACTCACATCATTTAATTGCTCTTCAATTTATACATTAATTGTAAAATAAGTGTCTAGCTTGTAATGGCCTGTCACTTAAAAAAATTTAAGCTGTAAAAAAAAGCAAAAACATTATGAACGTATAATATTAGTATAAAACTAAAGAATAAATAAATGAATGAATGAATGAAAAACTTGAATTGAAATTGCCAGGTAGAACTAAAACGTTTTTATAGAGCAAAAAAAATCTACTGAGCTAAAATTGTTGTCTAGCCATAACCTGAGCTAAATACTTTAGCTAACAAATTTCCAGAAATAAATTGTAACAGAGTATACTCAAAGTTAGTTATAAACACTTCCCTAGCRTACCCCTATTAAGTATTTTTGTCACTTGTTTCAACAGGTGAGCCAAACCGAGTCCCCTCAGTAGGACCTCATAGACATAGTGCAAGAGATCAGGCAGAGCAAACGAGTCACTCCAAAGGACATGAAGTCCTACCTGGGGTCTTCTCTACAAAACCAAGATGTGAGTACCAACACAGACCCTTGGGAATCTTAATATTTTGTTTTGTGCTAATTACCTTGTACTTTTGACAGTGATTTGGTTCCRACCAATTCAAATGAGCTGTAATTCATCTAGGAAATCAAACATTTAGTATTGCCATTGTTTGGAGATGTGAGAGTGTGTGTTCTCATGCAGTCAGGAATTGATAATTAAAAAAATATTGTGCCTCAAGGATATTCCTGTTAATATATTAGCACCAAAATGTTTTTCAAAATACATGCTAAGAAATTCATCAACAATTCAAGTCRTGGTTTCAGTTTTGTGTCAGTTAACTCAGTATTTCTGAGATAAGCCAGTAGTCATTGTTTTTGGGATTACCACGCTTGATTGGAGGAAAATGTTAAGCTTTTTCTTGTGCATGCTGTCAAGTGTGACATCCATATTAGCTTAGAGGGGACTTGAATAATAAGCTTTGCACTTTTTAACCTTGTTTACATTAATTTGACTCAATACCACCTGTCCAAGTGTGGATGACTCTTCTCTGAACCTAGCCATATTGAGTCAGTTGACATTTCAATGGTGAACAAACCATGTTACACTGCAGTCTACGCAGCTTAACAATAATCTCCTTTTGAAAGAATCTCTCATGAATTGAATGATATTCTTTGGCACTTAAAGCTATCAGTGGACTTGGTGTTTTTTGTAAGTAATAAATACAATTTTATTCAGCCATRTTGAAGTTCACTGTTCAGCAGAGAAGGCTCAAAATACTTGACTTATTTTCAATAGACTTATACTGATGGCTCTAACATAATTCTATAAATAATTCTTCACAGATGATAACATTTTTTTAGGCTTCTGCATTTCCTAATGCTTTCAAAATTTCTCTAGAAAATTAATGCACGGATGAAAGGTTTCATTTACTATGAATAATTAATCACATCTATGAACTTTTGTAGATTTTAGCTCTAACACATTTTGAGAGACCAGGATTTTTAACAATTTCTAAACTTAGAAATATGAAATTCTATCCTAAGGAAAAAAATCTTAATTTTTTGTGATTTTTTAACCTACAGAAYGATTTCTGATTTCTGTGACTTTGTTAGTAGCTTTCTGCTTTAAGTGCTATTTCCTGTTAGTTTTTTCCTTTCGGAAACATGTTGTTGTAGATTTAGAGTTTATATATCCATACAGCCAGTAAAAAGAATTAAAATCTGGGCTTCAAGATTTGATTTTTAAGCACTCTAAAAAAACACTTTTCATGGCTTCTGATATATCTAATAGCAAGATCACAAGTAAAGACATTTTTGTATAATTATTGATGTTGGAGAACAATAGTGAGTTGCTTAATAATAGCCTGTGAATAAKTAGTGGTGCATTGAAAATGAAAGATCCTTAATAACACACAAAAAAAGGTGTTGACAAAGCAGAATTCATGTACACCAAATCACCTTGTAACAAGGGAGAAAAGGAAGTTTATAATTCACAGGAAATGAATCTATTTTATAGAGATTTGTATTCATAAATATCTTGCATGAGTGCTGTTTTGTGTGTGTGTGTGTGTGCATATTTAATGATCTAGATTGTTGGATATTTTCCTTTGTTATTTAACCTGCTTTTCAATCAAGACATTTATTTTGATTAMATCCATCCAGTCTTACTAGTTTAATGGTTTTGGCCTCCTTAGARTAAGAACCAATCTACTGGAGAATATGTTTATTAAATTGATTTGACAGAAATCCTCTAATCCAACTTCCATTAATTACTAAGCACTCGTAGGTAGATCTAATTTGCAGAGATATTATGGTTTTGGTCATTAGTTAGATATCTTTATGGTAGTCCCTCTTAATTGAGATCCTATTGATGGTCATTCATTTAGGGAATATATCTTTACCATYTCAGTTATTAACTGATCCTAAATTACACATCTTGATAATAGAGCTTGTAATGATAACTGTCTTTTTTTCTAGCTTTTGTAAGCTTAACTTCAGTTGTTGATCTAAGAGCTGAATAATAATAATAATAATA